TACTGAACCTGCTCACCTGACGGCAGACCCTCGCTGGCAAAACCGTGTCGGTTTTAAACGTTCCTCCTGCTCACACAGTTGAACAAATGACCACACTGGGTATGAAAAACACTGTTGAACCCTGAACACATAACACGTAGTCGCTCTCTTGACTTATCGGCACACAAGAACCAGCTTTGTTACACTTCTAGGTTTTGAACTTTTGTGTGTCCTCGTGTACATGTTGTTAAATTACTGACGTGTACACGTTGTAAGAGGTGAGTCTGTATCAAACGCTTGCCAAAACACGTCATGCATGAAATCTCACTGTACGTGACACTAAGCTCCTGAGAACGGTACGTGATCTGTGCTTCAATGTGCTAGGCCAGTCAACTGTGCTATTCGATACAAGCATGTGAGTTGACGAACATCACCCACACCTCAATTTTAATAAAACAGATTACGATAACGTGCCCACTCTAACCTAGACTGTTGTCAGTTTGGCCAGGTGTGTCCATGATGTACATCAGCACATGACATCACTGTGTCTAAACATCACCAGCAGTTTGCCCTCATCTACCGTCTTCCAGGAGGAAACCTCCTGAGCCGCTCGCAGAGAGCTGAGTCAGACGTGAGTATCATCTGGAGCCGGACCCTCCAAGACTCACCTTGCACCTTGTCTAAACATAGAACCTGGTCCATGTCCTAAGCGAGTCCACTACCTTGAGTGTCCTTCATCACCTGTGACAGGCAAGCACTGAACCCAACTAATAGAAGCCTCAGTGCTTTCAAATGAAACCAGAATAAACTCAACGAATAAATTATAAAGAAAATCTAAAATAAATCTGTCTAAATCATCGAAGTTGTTTGGAGGAAGACCAGTCGAAGGTTTTACACATGAAAATTCTCTTCTGTATTTTCCAGAATCACAACTGACACGTTGTATTATGTCCGTTTATTAAACAGTCTCTTTAAAAAACAGCCTGGTTTATTGTGACGGGGAGGTGACGATTGAGATGTCCTGACCTGATCTCAGGGCTCGCGTGGAAAAGTCAGAAATGACTCTGTCTCTGACCTCAGTACTCTCTTGACCTCAGAGGAAACGCCTGAGTCAACAGACGTGAAAGGAAAGAATGTCAACGTGAACTCACACTGAGATTATTTCACACTGACTTTCATTCTAAAAGCCATGGAGCTCAATCTACCTTTAACCACATGAAAACCAGGATGAAACTGTTCAAAATAAGAAAACTATAAAGACAAAGACAAATGACAAAGTGAGTCGAGTAAAATAATAATTACAATCAAAAATAATGAGGCTGAGAATAAATGATATTCAGACAGAAAGTATTATAAGTTTCCTGGATAGTGTTTCTATTGGTGCGAAATCATTAATTAAGTATAGTATAGTATTTAGTTGTGATGATTGATGATGATTGATGATGTATGATGTAACTATAGATTCTCATCAGCTCGTTCTTCATGGCGATTCCTGATTGATAGAAGAGAGATGAATCTGTATTTATGGATTGAAGCTTCAGTCCATCAGACAGACAACTGCTATGTTTCTCATTATGTGGCTTCTGCTGTGGTTTTAACAATTTGTGCTGCAGCAAGGCATTGTGGGACGCAGGTCTACTTTCTCTTTGTAAAGGAAACTCATGTGTTTCTAAAGGAATAGAAGAGGAGAAGCAGTGAAACTCTTCTCACTGCATGAATCTGCTCAGAGACTGAAGATCATTTCTCTGTTTGAATTTTTCAGACTCATTCACAGAAAGCGATTTTCACAATAAGTCGTGAAACAGCAGCTGACGTCGAACTCTTGGTGTTATGTGATGTACGTCAGAAGACAGAGGAGCAGAGAAAGGAGGTTGCAGCTCTCAGAGGAGAAGAGTACCTGCAGATGACCGGGCAGAGCGGAGCAGGAGGTGAGGCAGGTACAGACTGGAAGCTCCTCCCCTGCACATTCACCAGGTAACACATGTGCACACACACAATACAAGGTCGTGTGATCTCTTCTGTTCACACATGACGGATAACAGAGACCTTCAAGTTGGATGCCATCATGACAGGAAAGTGACACCTGTATCATGAACCATTACTGTGTTGCTGTGGCGTTTCATGGCTCGCCCCATGAGCCAACAGAAGGCGGAGGACACCACAGAGAAGAGGAAGAAGCAAAAAGGAGAAGGAGACGCAGTGCAAGGAGAGCGGTGGAGAGCATGCAGCCAAACCTCCTCTCTGTTCAAACTACACAGTATATACCTGAGATCACAGGCTACACACTTCCTTCTCTGATTGGCGGCACCAATCTCCTCTGCTTCTCATTTATTAGATCAATTACGCGATGTCACACGCCTACACTTTCTTCTCCCAATTTCTGATCAGTTTTTATTGAATGATCGCAATTTAAACTTTAATGATCCTCACTCCGCCCTTCCTTCCTTCCAGACCAGTTGTGATCAGGTGATAAAGGAAGATTTTCACCAGTGAAACTCGTTTTCAGCCCTGCCTGCAACACACTGGACACCACACACCACGACCACGCACGCACGCCACGCAACCCTAGCACGCACGCCAGCCACGGCAGCACTCACGCACGCCTACGCCGCACAGCGACGCACGCTCAGCACCACCACACACACACTACACACACACACACACACACACACACAAACTTCAGTGCCTGTGGCGCTGAAGTTATAAATAAGGTTGGTTCAGGCTCCACGTGATCGTCCTGGTTTCTCTCCTCAATCGTGGGACACAACAAGTCCTGAATGTTTCCACACTGACCACGCTCAGTACACACACACACACAACCACACACACTACACACACACCACACACACAAGCACACACACACAAATCCTACAACACAACACACACACACCACACACACAACACACCACTCACACACAATTCACCACACCACAGACTGCTTGTCTTGATGTTCTTTCAGTGGCACCAAGACAGAGAAAATGATTGATTTGTCCGTTACGTGTGGACGGACTGCAACAACGCTGTGGTTGTGTGTGTGTGTGTGTGTGTGTCGTGTGTGTGTTGGTGCACTATACGTAATTAGTTGTTGTGTGTGTGTGTCAGTGTGTGTGCTGTCGTGTTGTGTGTGTGTGTCTAGTGTCAGTAAACAGACCATCCCTGCTCCTCCTGTCAGGAGAGACGCTCCGTGGTTCGATCTCAAGACAGATGCAGGTGAGAGAACACACTACAATCACACACACACACACACACACCTGGTGTTCATCCATTGATCACGTCTGTTTGTCTACTGCAGGGAAGACTCTGTCCTACGCCGTCCCTCTGTCCAGAGGTCTTCAGTCGGTCACATGCGAAGGTCAGCAGGTCAGTAGGATCCTTTGTGCCGTCGTCTCGTCACCACAGAGAGTGCGGTCTGTCACACACTGTCCTTACTCTCACCTGAGCCCAGCCTGTCCCGCCTCCTCTTACTGTTACTACTTGTCTAACTGTACCATCAGCTCGCCCTGCAAACCTTCCACACTTCCAGAGCTTTCTGAAGTAACCGCTGAATTAAACTTCAATTCTTGACGTGGGTCACACCTGGTCACGACTGGTCCAAACACTGGTCACTGGTCACACTGGTCAAATCTGTCCACAACCTATCTCTCTCTGCCAGCCGTTTCACCTGGACTCGTTCCCTCAGGTGTTCTGATGGAGGAGAGAAGAGGAAATCAGAGGTAAGGCCAGGCTACATCATCTCCTCAACCTCCTGCAAGTCTTCTCCCTCTTTCTGTCCTAAATGTCTACAAGTGGTTTCACTTCCACTGATGTAGTTTCCTTGAGGATGGGTTCCAGAACTAACTGAAGGAGGAGCTGGTCTGCGAGTTAGTTCAGGATCCTTAGAAGAGGTTCTTCCTGGTAACTTCGAGAGAACGCGTTACCAGGAGCCTTGAAGAGTGTTCTACCTGGTAACTTGGAGGAAGTTCCCAGGATCCTTGAAGAGGTTTCCTGTAAACTTGAAGGTCCAGGGATCCTGGAAGAGTTCTCCTGGTACCAGTTGAGGAGTTTCCAGGAGTCCTCTGAAGAGGTTCTCCTGGCTAACTTGAGAGAGTTCAGGAGTCCTTGAAGAGTTATTCTACCTGGTACCCTTGAGGAGCGTTCCAAGGTATGTCCTGGAAGAACAGCAAAAAGACAGAGAGGACACCGCTGATGATATACAAGGGTTCAGGAAGGAGATCAGAAGTTGACCAAAGCTCATTGATCTCTTGATGTGCTTCAGGTCCTTGAGTCGTCCTAGTCCCTCTGTCCCGTCTCTGTCAGACCTACCTTCGTCCCTCGACCCTCTGTCCCTCTGCCACTCCCTCCTGTCCATCTGTCACGCCTCTGCTTGCCTCTTGCCCTCGTCCTTACGACCTCGTCCGTGTCGCATCTGACCCTCATGTTCCCTTCCTTCTCTGACTGCCTCTTGTCCCTCGTGCATCTGAAACCCTCTGTCCCTTGCCCTCATGTCCCTCTGAAACCCTTGTCACCTCCTGTCCCTCTCGACCTCTGAACCCTCTGTCCTCTGTCCCTCTGACCACTCTGTCCGTTCCTTCTCTACTGATCCCTTCATGTACCTCTGCTCACGTCTCGACCCTCTGTCCTCTGACCCATCTGCTCGACCTTATCCCTCTGTCCCTGTACCTCATGACCCTGTTACCTCTGTCCTTCTTCCTTGCTCTGATCCTGCGTGACCAATCCCTCACCGCTCGTCCTGGCCTCATGTCCCTACTGCTCCTCTGTCCATCTGACCCTCTGCCCTCTGTCCTCTGTCCATCTGAACCCTTCTGTCGCTCTCCGACCCTGCTGTCCCTCGATCCCTTCCTTCTCTCTGACCTCTGTCCTCTGTTCGCTCGTGAAAAGAACAACATCCTGTTACAACACAATAACAACACAAAGACAACAATAACAACAACAACACAATAACAACAAAACGACAACAACAACACAATAACAACAACACAACAACAACAACAACACAATTACAACAACAGCAACACCATTACCTGTCTGCCTCGTCCAAGATCAGCCAGCGAACGGCGCTGAAGGCGATGCTCAGGGTGTGTTTGATATGATCTACCAGACGTCCAGGGGTGGACACCAGGATGTTGATTCCTTTACGGAGCCTGAGGACAGAGGGACAGAGGGACAGGACGACTCAAGGACCTGGAACATCAGAGATCAATCAGACTTTGGTTCAACCTTCTGATCTCCTTCCTGAACCCTGTAATCATCATGGTGCTCCTCCTCTGTCTTTGCTGTCTCTTCCAGGACTCCTGGAACCTCCTCAAGGTACCAGGAGAACCTCTTCAAGGACTCCTGGAACCTCCTCAAGTTACCAGGAGAACCTCTTCAAGGACTCCTGGAACTAACTCCAGACCCCAGCCCCTCCTTCAGTAGTTCTGGAACCTCCTCAAGAAACCACTGTGGAAGTGAAACCACTTGTAGCATTTAGGACAGAAAGAGGAGGAGAAGACTGCAGGAGGTGAGGAGGATGTACCTGGCCTTCTCTGATTTCCTCTTCTCTCCTCCCATCAGAACACCTGGGACGATCCAGGTAAACGGCTGCAGAGAGAGAGAGGTGTGACCAGGTGTGACCAGGTGTGACCAGGTGTGACCAGGTGTGACCAGGTGTGACCAGGTGTGACCCAGTCAGCAGATGAAGTGTTATCAGCGTTACCTTCAGAAGCTTCTGGAAGGTGTGGAAGGTCTGCAGGGCGAGCTGATGGACAGGAGGACAGTCAGTAACAGGTAAGAGGAGGGAGGGGACACTGGGCTCAGGTGAGAGTAAGGACAGGTGTGTGATCAGACCGCACCTCTCTGGTGGGGACGAGGACGACGGCCAAAGGACCGTCTGACCTGCTGACCTTCGGCTGGACCGACTGAAGACTCTGGACCAGAGGGACGGCGTAGGACAGAGTCTTCCCTGCAGAGACAAACAGACTGTGTCACCATGGTAACACAGGTGTGTGTGTGTGTGTGTGTGTGTGTGTGTGTCTCACACCTGATCCTGTCTGAGATCGAACCACGGCGTCTCGTCCTGACAGGAGAGCAGGGATGGTCTGTTTCTGAACACTGAACACACACACACACACACACACACACACACACACACACACACACAGCGTTGTGCAGGTCCGTCACAAACTGAGCAAAAATCATTTTCATGTTGGTGCCACTGAAAGAAATCAGCACAGCAGTCTGTGTGTGTGTGTGTGTGTGTGTGTGTGTGTGTGTACTGACCTGGTCAGTGTGGAAACATTCAGGACTTTGTTGAGTGTCGCCACCTTGAGGAGAGAAACCAGACGATCACTGACCTGAACTCAACCTGTATTTATAACTTCAGCCACAGGCACATGAAGTGTGTGTGTGTGTGTGTGTGTGTGTGTGTGTGTGTGTGTGTGTGTGTGTGCGTGCGTGCGTGCGTGCGTGCGTGCGTGCGTGCGTGCGTGCGTGCGTGCGTGCGTGCGTGCGTGCGTGCGTGTGTGTGTGTGTGTGTGTTACCAGGTGTGGGTGCAGGTCCAGGTCTGAAAACGAGTCACTGGTGAAAATCTTCTCTTTCACCTGATCAACAACTGGTCTGAAGGAAGGAAGGAGCGGAGTGAGATCATTAAAGTTCATTGCTGACTAATCAATAAAACTGATCAGAAATATGTGAGAAAGTGAGGCGGTGACATCAGCAGATTGATATAAACCAATGAGAAGCAGAGGAGGATCTGTGCAGCCAATCAGAGAAGGAGCTGGGTACCTGTGGATCTCAGGTATATCTGGGTTGTGTTTGAACAGAGAGGAGGTCTTGATGCTGCTCCTCCCCGCCTCCTTCACTGCCTCCTCCTTCTCCTTTTTCTTCTTCCTCTTCTGTGGTGCCCCGCCCTCTGTTGGCTCAGGGGGCGGAGCCTGGAGACGCCACACAACACAGTTAATGGTTATAATACAACGTGGTCACTTCCTGGTCACTGTGGTCCAGACTGCAGGTCTCTGTTTCCGTCATGTGTGAACAGAAGAGACACACCTGGTTTGTGTGTGTGCACGTGTTTACCTGTGAATGTGCAGGGGGAGGAGCTTCAGTCTGTACCTGCCCCTCCTCCTGCTCCCGCTCTGCCCGGTCAGTCTGCAGCGTCCTCTTCTCCTCTGAGGAGCTGCACCTCCTTTTCTCTGCTCTCTGCTTCTTCTGGACGTCACACACAAACACCAAGAGTTCACTCAGCTGCTGTTTCAGCTCTTATTGTGAAAATCCTGCTGTGACTGAGTCTGACAAACATTCAGACAGAGAAATGATCTTCAGTCTCTGAGCAGCTTCATGAGGAGAGGAGCTTCACTGCTTCCTCTCTCATCTCCTTTAGGAAACACTGGAGCTTCCTTTACCAAAGGAAAGGAGACATGCCGTCCCACAATGCCTTGCTGCAGCAACATTTAAAACCACAGCAGAGCCACATACATGTAGAAACATCAGAGCAGCTGTTTCTGTCTGATGGACTGAAGCTCAGATCCATAAATATAGATTCATTCTCTTTCAATCAGTCAGGAGTCGCCATGAAGAACGAGCTGATGAATCTATAGTTACATCATCATCATCATCATCATCATCATCACCATCATCATCACAACTAAATACTATAGTCTATACATTAATGTTGTCGCACCAAATAGAAACATCAGGAAACTATAAACTTCTGTCTGAATATCATTTATTCTCAGCTCATTATTTCTATTTAATTATTATTTTACTGACTCAACTTTGTCAGTTTGTCTTTGTCTTTCATGTTTTCTTATTTCAACATTTCATCCTGGTTGTTTCTGTGGTTAAAGGAGGATTGATCCTCCAGGTGTTAGAAATGAAGTCAGTCTAAATAAATCTCAGTGTGAGTTCAGTCACATTCTTTCCCCTTCACGTCTTTGACCTCAGGACGTTTCCCATGGAGGTCGAGGAGACGAGGTCAGAGAAGAGGTCATTCTGACTTTTCCACCGCAGCCTGAGATCAGGTCAGGACATCCTCAATCTCACCCCGTCACAATAAAAGCAGCTGTTTTTAAAGAGACTGTTTAACACACGAGACATAAACAACTGTCAGTGTGATTAGGAAAATAACAGAAGAGAATTTTCATGTGTAAACACCTTCGGACTGTCTCCTCCAAAACATTCGATGATTTGACAGATTTATTTTAGATTTTCTTTATATTTATTCGTAGAGTTTCTTCTGGTTCATTTGAAGCACTGAGCTCTATTAGGTGGGTTACATCTGCTGCCTGTCACAGTGATGAAGGACACATCGGTACTGGACCAGGACCAGGACCAGGTCTATGTTTCAGACAAGGTGCAGGTGAGTCTGGAGGGTCCGGCTCCAGACTGATACTCACTCTGACCCATCTCTGCTGAGCGCTCAGAGGTTTCCTCCTGGAAGACGGAGATGAGGGCAAACTGCTGCTGATGTTTAGACACAGCTGGTCATCTGCTGATGACATCATCGACACACCTGAGCCACAAACACACAGTCAGGTTAGAGGGGCAGTTATGTAAATCTGTTTATTAAAATGAGGTGGTGATTTCTCACTCACACCAAACAGTTACTGGCCAGCACCATGTGACACAGATCACGTGACCGTCCTCAGCAGCTCAGTGTCACAGAACATGAGATTCACGACGTGTTTGCAGCCGTTTGATCAGACTCACCTTTACACGTGTACACGTCAGTATTTAACAACATGTACACGAGGCACCAAAAGTTCAAACCTAGAAGTGTAACAGAAGCTGCTTCTTGTGCCGAAGTCAAGAGCGACACGTGTTGATGTGTTCAGGGTTCAACAGTGTTTTCCATCACCTGTGTTTCACTGTGTGACAGGGAGGAAACGTTAAACCGACACGTTTCTGAGCGGAGTCTGGCGTCACGTGCAGCAGGTTCAGTGTCTGATCGAGGCGCGAAGCCGTGAATTTATCAGACAGGTGAGTGAAGTCACATCGATGATGTTCACGTTACCGCACAGTAACAACACCAGCTGCACGCACACACACACACACACACACGTGTGTGTGTGTTCGTAGCTCAGATTCAGTAGTATCTTAGCAGCTAACGCTAGCCTCATGGTAATGGCAGCGGTTTCCGGTCGGTAAATAGATTTCACAATAAATTCGTGGAGAAAAAACAGAAAATGAGACAAATTAAAACTCACCGAACAAACCGACCCGCGTGGGAAACTCTTCCTGGTGCGTCACTGAGGCCCCGCCTCCTCCACAGCTGATTTAGTGGGCATGCGCAGGAGCTTCTCCCGTTATTTTGAGTTTTTTTTCGTTTTGAATAAAACAAAATAAAAACAAATATAATATGATATAATATAATTTATAGTCCAAACATTTAAGTTATGACTAAATAGTTTTTCATTTATGTGTCGTGTAGAGGAAACATCATGAGAAAACAAATAAAGAAACAAACATAAATATTTATTGAATCACTGTAAATGAGGACGAGAATCTTTTATTGATTAATCAACATTAATGAGTCGGGTAAAGAAAGAAACCTGAGTGTTCTGTCAGTAAAACACTAGACAAACTGAAGATAATAAGACCTGATCCAGAGAGAGCTGAGCTAGACCTGACCATGACCCAGACCCTGTCTGTAAATAGACCTGAACATCATTGGACCAAATCCACAACAGACCAACAACAGTCAGACCTGATCCACTATGGACCTGAGTCCTGATCCACCTTGGACCTGAGACTGAGTGTGAAATGTCCTGAGTACAAGAAGACCAAATAATCTGGACCTGTCCCTGCTCAGGTCCTGGATCAGGTCTTGGTCTGTGGGACGGAGTGGACCTGTGAAGACCTCCAGTCTGTGACTAAACTTGAACAAACCCCAGATGATGAAAACCAGATCAGCAGTCCTATCTGAAGACCTGGGTGCCTTGCTCAGAGGCTTCCCGGCAGGATGAAGCAGGGTGGACAGTGTCTTCGGTCTCTGTAGGAGACGAGGACAAACTGTCCATCATCACATCAGCAGCCGTCAGGTCCCATTTCCCTCCCGCCCCGCTTCCTGTTGTCGACAGGAAGACTTAAAAATAGAGCTGTCAATCAAAGCCCAAGCCCGGCACCACTGGGACTCAAACCGACGCTCAGGAGGATTAATTATAGTCATTTACCAAAATCCTCACTTTGAAACGTCTGTGTGATTGAGCGAGTTGTGAAAATGACGGAGGGAGAGTTTGAAGTGAAGGAGATATTTTAACATGAAGGTTTGAAGTAAACGCTGCCGTCCCAAACTGTGATAACTGCTTTTAGATCAGAGGAGCCGCCGAGCCGCCTGACTGAGGAGCATCAGCTGCTGCCACTCACACTCACTCATTAATAATCATTGTATTAATAAAACACTGACTGTCTGTCTCCACTGGACACATCACTGACGACCGCCTGCCTCTGAGCTAAAGGAGAATTCCACTTTTTTACAGCTTGGGTCCTATTGTGGTGAAACAGTGTGTCATCATGTCTGAGTCCGAGAAACAGTTAGTGGAACTACAGGTGGCAGCTGAGCAGCAGGTAGAGCTCTCACCTGGCACTTCACAACACCTGACTAACCTTGAACTAACACGTAACAAACCCTTAACTAACAATTAACTAACCATGAACTAACACTAAGTTCTAGGTTTCCCCACAAACCTAAAGTTAAAGTTAACCATAACTCTAACTTAAAGGAGCTATCAGTAAGTTTTGCTAATGCTACATAGCAACGTTAGCTGTTTATGCACCAGTCTAGAAGAAATTTGAGTTCAGCATCAAACTTAATTTCTGTTTGTGGTGGTGTTGGGTCTTTGTGGTGGTGTTGGGTCTTTGTGGTGTTGGGTCTTTGTGGTGGTTTTGGGTCTTTGTGGTGGTGTTGGGTCTTTGTGGTGGTGTTGGGTCTTTGTGGTGGTTTTGGGTCTTTGTGGTGTTGGGTCTTTGTGGTGGTTTTGGGTCTTTGTGGTGTTGGGTCTTTGTGGTGGTGTTGGGGGGTCGGGCTCTGTGCAGGTTTAGACCCTGGTCACCTAAACACACCTTAAATGAACACATGTGGTTGTGGTCATAGTGGGAAGCCAGTGAGGGATCATGGCCTTGGATGTGGGGGAGACACGGTGAGCCCCCCCCATCAGACACCACACAGAGGTAGAACAGGTGACAGGACAACAGGACAGGTAGACAGACAGAGGGACTGTATGTGACCGTATGAAATCTCTTAAAGTGGTGACTGTCGAACAGGAAGCTGTGAGCTGGTCAGAGTGACGCTGTCTCTTCATCCTGAAACTGTTGGACATGATGAAATGAAGGACCATGTTTGGACACTTGTGTCTCTTTCACACATCGACTCTGAAACTCACGTCTGTCTTAAAATCATCTCTGAAAACATTTTGTTCTTTTCATGAGAGAAGAGGCTGAAAGCAGCTGAATTCGGAGACGTGAGCAGCTTTAAAGATGATGTTTGCCTGAGGCGACAGTCCTCGCACGCTCGCACGCACGCACGCACGCACGCTCGCACGCACGCTCGCACGCACGCTCGCACGCACGCAGAGATTTGTGTTTTCGGGTCAGGAGATAACTGTAGCTGCAGACTGACGCTGCAGGTTCCTCTGTGTGTTTAATGTTCAGGTGTCTGAGGTGGCGATGAACCTCCAGAGAATCATCAGCTCAATCTGCTGCTCCTTTAATGCCTTCATCGTGTCAGACTGTAACGATGTGCGGTCTGATGACAGAACACTCGTTAGTAGAGCCAGCACTCTGACCTTTGTGTGTTCAGTGAGGAGTGTATTGTGTATACAGTGTGTGTATCTACAGTGTGTGTATCTACAGTGTGTATCTACAGTGTGTCTATCTACAGTGTGTATATGAAGGTGGGGGCAGAGGCTTTGACAGAGTTAAAATAATCAGTAAATATTAAAATCTGTTTTTAGGAAATAAAAAACTAAAATTCATGAAAGAAAAAACTGAACTTTTATTTTATTGTGAACAAACCAGCAACATTAAAACATGTAGTTTAGATCAGTATAGGAAGAGGACTCTCTCTCTCTCTGTGTCCTCTGTCTGTCTCCACAACCTGAGTTCACCTGGGTCCAGGTGAGTCCAGGTGAGTCCTGCTGTCAGGCAATATTCAGTCTGCTCTCTAGAGCCTCGTACACAGAGTGGGGATCCTGGTCAGCATCAATATGAACCGCATCTGGATACACAGACTGTACACACACACACACACACACACACACACACACACACTGATGTTTTTATATATTTCTGTAAAGTTACATCTGATCGATTTATTCTGATATTTTGTTTTTAGTTTTCTGTGATGTCGTCTAAACCTTCAGTTCTGACACAGGAGATTAACTGTCAGGCTAATTAACAAGCTAATATACATGGTGGAACATGGTGGAACATATGTGGAACATATTTGGAACATGGTGGAACATATGTGGAACATGGTGGAACATATGACATCATTTAGGGTCATTTAGCTTCACATGACCTTCAGAAGATCAGGACGTGGTATTAGAGTTCAGATCAGGTTCAGGTTCTTGAGGGTTCTCACTGGTCCAGTATAAATGTGTGTGAGTACCTGCAGAACAGCAGTGTGTGTCCTGTACTGGTCCAGAGTGTGTGTCACAGCGTGTGTGTCGTCCTCTGGTCGGGTCTCCAGTCGGTTCTGGACCTGGGAGCTGGGAGCCGGTCGAGTCACAGCGTGAAACCTGCAGGAGAGACACCGTAACGACACGATGACGTGACCAAGCAGCTCTGCACGTGACTGCGATTGACAGGTTGTCCAGGTAATAAACAGTGACCTGCTTCATGTTGTTGTTGCCATAGAAATTAACTTTATTGACACGTCGTTTCTGTGTTTGAAAAGCAAAACACAGACTCAACATTTTTCTAAAACTCAGTGAGACACATTTGATCTGTGACATGTCTGTTCGTTTAACTGGTCACTAGTTTAACTGGTTACTGGTTTAGCTGGTCACTAGTTTAACTGGACACTGATTTAACTGGTCACTAGTTTAACTGGGTACTGGTTTAACTGGACACTGGTTTAGCTGGTCACTAGTTCAACTGGTTACTGGTCACTGGTTTAAATGGTCACTGGCTTAACTGGTCACTGGTTTAGCTGGTTACTAGTTTAACATTGGTACTGGTTTAACTGGTCACTGGTTTAGCTGGTTACTAGTTTAACTGGGTACTGGTTTAACTGGACACTGGTTTAACTGTTCACTGGTTTAGCTGGTCACTAGTTTAACTGGTCACTAGTTTATCTGGTCAATAGTTTAGCTGGTTACTAGTTTAACTGGGTACTGGTTTAGCTGTTCACTGGTTTAAATGGTCACTGGTTTAACTGGTTACCGGTTTAACTGGTCACTGGTTTAAGTGGTCCCTAGTTTAACTGGGTACTGGTTTAACTGGTTACTAGTTTAATTGGGTACTGGTTTAACTGGTCACTGGTTTAGCTGGTCACTGGTTTAACTGGTTGTACTGGCCTCTCTCCACTGACTGGATCCATGGTTCTCAGAGTGAGTCTCTCCAGACAAACATCATCTGTCAGCTCCAGGAAGAAAACTCTGAGGAGAGAAGAGGTCAGAGGTCAGAGGTCACCACCAGTCACTGTTTTTTATAGAGACGATGGCTGTGATTGGTCAGCTTGTGTTTGTGATGCTGCTGCAGAAACAGAGTTCACTGCTATCACACCTGTTAGTGGAGCTACCTCAGGTAAGTGCAGGTTGATATTAAGAGTACTATTAGTAGTATTAGTAGTATTAGTATTAGTATTAGTATTGTATGTAGTACTTGTTGGGCTGGTGTATGTAGTAGTATTAGTAGTAGTATCAATAGTACCTGTTGGGCTGGTGCTGGGACAGGCTCTTGGCTTGCTGCAGGTCTCGGGGGAACCCGTGCAGGATCCAGCCTCTGCAGCTGCAGTCCACTTGGCTCAGACGTTGGTCCAGAACCTGCAGAACCAGGGAGTCTGGAACTGCACCGACACATTCATCAATAACCAATAATCAGTAATGAGCTGCTTGTGTTCAATCAGTTAATATCTGCAGCCACAACCCCATCTGAAAATACATGCAGACGCCTCTATGGTCATGTGATGCAGAGCGAGGCAGCTGATTGGTCGATCCAGACAGAGTTTATAATTTATAAATCTAAATATATTTAAGACACATGATGATGATGATGGGGAGTGGAGTGATGGAGGAACAGATGTTTCTGAACATGGACTCTGTAAGCTACTCATTATTAAACACACACACACACACACACACACACACGAAGAAGACTGCAGAATGACAGAGATGGGGGAGGACTGTGTAAAAACCCCAGGGGCTGCTGGGATACAGACAGGTATCAAACAGTCGTATTTCCACTTCAAAGAATTCTGCTGTTGTCTGCCGCTGCTGTGTGTGTGTGTGTGTGTGTGTATGTGTGTGTGTTTGTACCTGGTCGTTCATCATCCAGGTATGGTTGGATCTCCTCTCCCAGACTTGAACCATCAGCTGCTACAGACCTCAACAACTGACCACAACACACTGAGAGAGAGAGAGAGAGAGAGAGAGAGAGAGAGAGAGAGAGAGAGAGAGAGAGAGAGAGAGAGAGAGAGAGAGAGAGAGAGAGAGAGAGAGAGAGAGAGAGAGAGAGAGAGAGAGAGAGAGAGAGAGAGAGAGAGAGAGAGAGAGAGAGAGAGAGAGAGAGAGAGAGAGAGAGAGAGAGAGAGAGAGAGAGAGAGAGAGAGAGAGAGAGAGAGAGAGAGAGAGAGAGAGAGAGAGAGAGAGAGAGAGAGAGAGAGAGAGAGAGAGAGAGAGAGAGAGAGAGAGAGAGAGAGAGAGAGAGAGAGAGAGAGAGAGAGAGAGAGAGAGAGAGAGAGAGAGAGAGAGAGAGAGAGAGAGAGAGAGAGAGAGAGAGAGAGAGAGAGAGAGAGAGAGAGAGAGAGAGAGAGAGAGAGAGAGAGAGAGAGAGAGAGAGAGAGAGAGAGAGAGAGAGAGAGAGAGAGAGAGAGAGAGAGAGAGAGAGAGAGAGAGAGAGAGAGAGAGAGAGAGAGAGAGAGAGAGAGAGAGAGAGAGAGAGAGAGAGAGAGAGAGAGAGAGAGAGAGAGAGAGAGAGAGAGAGAGAGAGAGAGAGAGAGAGAGAGAGAGAGAGAGAAAGAGAGAGTTATATGCAGATTTACAGGTGAGATGTCATCGCAGTGACAAATCGGATTATCTCTATGAAGGGTGTGCGCGTGCGTGTACCGTCCACCATCTTGTATTTCTCTGACAGCAGTCTGGCCTGGTGACTCTTCCCTGACCCCGGCGGACCCAACAGGAGGATTCTGGGAGTTCTAGAGCGACGACGAGTCCGGACGAAAGCCAGCACTGAGACAACACGTTAGAAAGTCAACAATAAGAAAAAAGATTTCAGCATCACTGATCCACAGTCAGATCCAGCTCAGTAAATGTAAAAAGAGACAGACACCAGATCAGTTTATCCATTAACAACCTCATCAGTGTTCAAACACAGAAGGTCTGTGGGATTCAAACTCCTTCATCTACAGCAGGGATGCCAGGGTGAAATGGGTCAGGGGGCCAGATTTTTTTCAAGTGAGACCTCAGCGGGCCGAATTACACTTTCAAACTGAAAGGACCAAACACTGACTCAACATCACTGTTTGAAATTATTCATTAAAGCCTACACATCAAAGAGAAATTGCATTGGCACCACAATAGCCTCACAATGAGGCCTACAATTACATAGAAGCCTAAAGCAAGTCACAGTACCCTCTGAAAACGTAACGTTGTCCTATCCATGCTAGGGCTGTCAACACTGCTCAAAAATGACCTTCGAATATTCCCTCTAAAAAACACATATATTCAAACTGTTTGAATATCTATCTGTGTATTATTCAATGACGCGCATCACATCAATACCAGGACAAACTAATACAACGAGACATAACTACTGTATAGGTAGGCTAGTTCATTTAACTTTAAACATATTTGACAACATATTACCTACATAAAAATAACATGAACTAATGGCCAAGACCGCAGAGCTCACTCTAGCTCTCACACTTGCTCGCTCGCTCTCTCTCTCTCTCTCGCCCGCCCCCTCACGCTCTCTGTGCAGACTAGTTTAAATGAACAACAACATAAACAAATGCTGAGTGCTGATCAAAAGTTTTGTGCAAGCAATTTAAGCTTAGGGGGAGGGGAGGGGGGGGGCTCACTGCGCTGTCTGTCTCCCGCAGAGTCACACCAGGCAGCTCCGCAGGATTAATAAAGTATGAAACCTATTTTATTCGTGCATAACACATTTTTACCTAACGAAATTATCTGATTTAATTCACATTTCTGGCGTTTTGTCTTTCTAAAACAACTTTACCCGCTCTCCCATATCAACCCACGGGCCGGATGTGATGTTCAATCGGGCCGTAACCATGGCATCCCTGATCTACACAATCAATATCATGAGTGTTTGAGATGCTGAATAACAAACACAGTCGTGTATCACAGTAAGTCACACATCAAACTAAACCACTGCAGCACCTCACAAAATCAGAGAAGGACAGAAGTGAAGCTGAGATATAAAGTAGGGAATTGTCTGCATATACTGAAACTAAACCCTGAGGTCAAAACACCAAACTACACAATGTTGTTAAGAAGTAGCAGTGATACTCATGAACTTCAGGTATTCTACTATAACATGGTAGTATTATTTCAATGTGTAATACTGTCATGTTATTGGACAGGTACTGCAATATCAAAGAAAGGATTACCAAACATGAATGCAACAGGAGTCTCTAAACGAGGTTCAGACACCTTGTTGGTAGACGTCGGTGTGTGGTTGGTCACTGTTGATGATCTTCAGGACGTGCTGATAGGCTGACCTCAACCCTGTGACCTCACAATGAAAATGCTGCAGCGCAGCCAATCGCTGCTTCTCTGAAAGGGCCGGCGCCTTCTCCAGACGTTGAGCGATGATGTCATCGAGTGGCCAGATGAAGGTCTGATGGTAGATGTCTGCAGACAGGAAGTGATGAATGTCTAGTGTTAAATTGACCTTGGAGTCGAGTGTTGGACTGTAATGAAAATGATATGTCAGTAAACACACTGACAGAGTCTGAGGATCACACTGTTAATGTCAGTATTGTGTTTCAGCTCAGGTCAACAGCTGACGGTACCACTGTTAAAAAAAAGAAGCTTAAAACAAAAAGTTTTACTGAGAAAAAGTTATGTTGTCATGGTTGCTAGGCAGCAGGAACTGCATTTTGCAATGCAATGTTGAGGGCGGGAACAGCTGGTGACGCAAAGTAAAAATCCTCCGTAGATGAGACTGTCTCATTTCAGTTTGGTCTTCACGGTCTACAAAGGACCACACCTTCACAGATGGCGTCCTCCTCTGAACTGGGAAAACCCTGGTGCCTACGTTACCCACAATACACCTGGACCCCTGACAGCTGGGCCGTGGATTGGGGTGTGTGTATCCTGGAGCCTGGAGCAGGGATGAGGAGGTGTCACCTTCTCAGGTTCCCTCTGGAGTCACTTTCATACTCCTGTCTTCACATCTGCAGCATCAGAGGTATCATTCCCCGGAGAGGGGGGGCATGTCTCTGGCACTTCTTTCTGGTTTCAGTACCACTGAACTGTTTTTAACCCCAGGTTTTGCCTGTAAGGCAACATACAGGCTGCCCTGCTGTCGGGCTGTATATGGTGTCAGAGGAAACCTGCATTTAGCTGCTGTTTTTATCATTTTCCTACAAACACACTGACAGTCCTTTTCCATTGCCGGCTCCACGCCACTCTACTCCCCTGTTTTGGGTTTTCCATTGGTCAGAAGTTATGGACAGTACCTGGTACCTGGGACTCAAACATTATTCACTGAGTCTAAAGGCTCATCGTTGACTTTGGAAATGGCGGTTTGATTTTTGAGTCAGTGTTTAATGGAAATGAAAGGAAATTACATGTGATTATTGGGTTGATGAGGCTTTTTGGACACTAACTAACTTTGGACACTTTAAAGCTTGAGCTGTTTGATCTACAACACAGGACTCACCTCCCGTCAGTGGGTCCACCAGTTTCCCCTGACTCCTCTCCAACAGCACATCATCAGGAGCCTCCAACATCACTGACACACACACACACACACACACACACACACACACACACACACACACACACACACACACACACACACACACAGTGTTTGTCAGTGACAGACTTCATATTCACAGTTACTGTGAGCTGATCGTATCGTTGCTCTCACCAACATGTTCGGGGATGACTCCGGCCTGCTGCAGAGCCAGAGCCTGCAGGCGAGTCTGAGGGATTCCCTCCAACACCCAGCCCTACACACACACACACACACACACACACTGCATGTTAAAGATGTAGTGTGTGTTCTTCAGTTCTTTGTCTCTCGTCAGTACCCCCTAGAACTCTTCGAGAACCTTTAAAACGATTTCTCAGGACCAAATATCACCTGGATACAAGAAACTAAAACCTCAGCATTGTTAGTAATGACTGTAGGTGGAATCCTGTAATGATTATATGACTGAGGGAGGGAGTACACGCTTCCTTTATTGGAGTTAAAGTACTAAGTCTAAAAATACTCTGTTACAAATAAAAGTCCTGCATTTAAAATCTGAGTGAAGAAGTAAAACTTTAAAAACTTTACTTTTTACCTTAAAAGTTATTGATCAACAAATTATTTCAGCTCTTAATTTGCAAAGTAACTAGGCTGTAAAATAAATGTCATACAGTACAAGTAGAAAGAAATGGAAATACTCAGAGTACAAGTACCTCAACAGTGTACTGAAGTACAGACAATCATTAAACCTTGAGTCCATGTCAAGTCTCGAGTGCCCCGTGTTCATGTCCCACTCTGAGTCTTCAAGCTTGAGTCTGAGTCGAGTTCCAAGATGGACTCCAGACAAACCACTGAACGCCGCTTTCTGATTCACTCAGATGACCTGCGGCTGCGGTGTAATACAGTGTGCTCCATAGATGCTTGTGTGTAGGAGCACGGTAGTTCAGCGGTTGAAAAACGTAGTGCCAAAGGAAAGAGCTGTTTTCACTTAAACAGATGTTGGATTGTTTTGTTTTTACCCCCCCCCACGCCAAAAAACCACACCTGTCCCTTTAAACCATGGAATCATGGAAATGATTAGAAGTTCTCAGGACTCACTTCAGTTTGATTTGTTTGATTCTAAATGTTGGTAATTAAGGTTTCTAAAGGCCAGGAACTAATTGTTATCAGGTAGTTATTTATGAACATTTTAAGTGTCAGTTTGTACAGTGTGACTGTGTCTGTGTGTTCAGCTCATTAAACAGTGTGTCAGAGTCACAGTGATGTGTGAGGCTGACAGCAGCTCTACTCTGAATCAAACTAGTGTTTAATGCAGGAGTCTGCAGAGAGCTGCACACGTTAAGACTCTCTCACAGTCGTGTGGAGGCTATTCCCTCAGTGCTGCCTGACAGGCTAAATAAAGATGATAGGAGCAGCAGCACTGACACACACACACACACACACACATGCACACACGCACACGCACATGCACATGCACACATGTGATAAGTTGTGTGTGTTGGATGTATTGTGTGATTTTGTCTTCAGTACAATCTAGTGACTCTAACTGAGGACAGAACTGCTGAAAATCATGCAAACATCTTTGAGATGCTAAATTGTGAAGCTTTTGAGCTTTTGAGCCTTCCTGTGGCGCAACAGCGAATTTCCAGGTTTCACCATGAAACAGGAAGTGGTTATAACTATAATATACGGTACATTGTCCAAACTTCACGTGTTTGATGACAGACCCACACTAAAGACATCTACATGTTACTATGACGACAATGGGCCTCATTCACCAATATCATCTTAAGTATTTTCTTAAATTCTTTCTTAAGAAAGTTCTTAAGAAAGCTCTACGTCAGATTCACGAACTGCTGCAGGAAGTGAGTCGCTAACGAGCAGTTCAGTGTTAATGTAGCGTTCATTCATTTTAAACATAATGCTTTGTAAAATAACAACAGTTATTATACATGACAAAAATATTATTGTAATTTAAATAATATAATATTATATAACTGAGGAACAGAAGAAAACACAATAACCGCTTATTTTGCTCAAACATGTCAGCACTCAAATGTGTGTAAGAGAGCTCTTGAGTGTTCATAGATTCTGTTCTCACCTGAGAACAAATCCCAAATAAGAAAACACTGCTGAATGTCAGAATCTTCATAAAAAGTGTGAAAGTGGGTTTCAAGAAGAAATTTCTTCTTAAAAAAGGTTGGTGAATGAGGCCCATTGTCATGGCGCCACCTACTGAAAACAGGAAGTAACCCTTGAGTGAAAATCATCATTTGATTTACGTGATGTTTTCATGCTCTGGTTTACACTTGATGTACAGGAGACGAGGTGTTCCACAGGGTGAGGGCCGGTTCAACACTGCTCTAATTATTTTATTGTTTTTTTATTATTGAAGGTTTTTATTTCATTTTACTCGATTTTATCTCTCATGATCATATGTCTGTGAAGCACTTTGTAAACTTGTTTTTCAAAAAGTGCTATACAAATAAATATTATTATTATTATTATTATCATCATTATTATTATTATTATCATAAGGAAATTAAAGTAAAATAAAAAGGGAAAAAGTTCCTTTAACCCTTTGAGGCCTGAGGGTATTTTTCTTGATTTCTACATTATTTCTTAAGCTCACCTTTTAAAGGGACTTGCATATAACATCATACCCAAGTGTTTATATCACAATGTTCAGAACATTCTCAGCTCTTTCTATAACGGGGCGTCTTTCCGACCCTCGTTGCACTGTGCAGAGATCATTGGGCCCCAACTCTGAGAAAAAGCCCAGTTTTTTTTTAATTCTTGTTTTGATGGTTGAAATGTGTACACCAAAGGCTTAGGTTCATAAAAATAGAGCAAAATGTGAATAAAATAGATAAGATAAATACAGTTCATGAGACAATCAGATCCTGATGTCTCTACATGTGACCTCAGACTGAACACAGAGAGACAGACAGAGAGAGACACAGAGAGAGAGACAGACAGAGAGAGAGAGAGAGACAGAGAGAGAGACACAGAGAGAGAGAGAGAGAGAGAGAGAGACAGAGAGAGACACAGAGACAGAGACAGACAGAGAGAGAGAGAGAGACACAGAGAGAGAGAGACAGAGAGAGAGACAGAGAGAGACACAGAGACAGAGACAGAGAGAGAGACAGAGAGAAACAGACAGAGAGACAGAGAGAGAGAGACAGGATGTGAGACAGGTGCAGTAATTAATGTGACAGTAGGAGGCGGGGTCCTGATGGGAGCTGTCAATCATCCTCCTCTCCTCCATTCACACTGACACACAGAAGATAAACTCATCACACACACACACACAGTCCCTGGTGTGTGTGTGTGATGAGTTTAGCCTGCGGCCAAAAACAGCCATTAGCAGATCAAAGTAGCTGCTAAACACACACACACACACACACACACACACACACACACACACACACACACAAAACATTGATGCTAGATGCTAAGCTGAAGCTAAACGCTGGAGGCTGAAAGCAGCAGCTTTTTGTAAAGTTTAGAGGAAAAGACGAAAGCTGAACGCTGGTTTACCGCTGATCACTGAAGGACTGCTGCCCTCACACTCCACACACACTTTAAGATAGTGAACAAAGACTTTGAGTGATGCCCAGCAGGTGCCAGAGTTAGAAGACGTGGCAGACGAAGAGATGACAGATGTGTTTTCTTGTTGGAAGCAGATAAACTCAGTGAAACGTTCCCAGGAGTTAAATAAACGTCAGATCACATGGTGAAGATTTCATGACCACAGAACAAAGGAGGCAGCACACCGAGAACAGAAACTGGTTCCACGATGGTTTACAAAGACAACAAGCAGTCATGTATTGATTCAGTTTGTTGTGATACTGATTATTGATCTGACACCAGTTTCCGTCTGATCACTGGACCCGGCTAAAGGAACAGTAGAACCTCATACAGGACACCTTGACCTCCTGAAGGACCTCAAGAACCTCCTCAGTGATTCTGCAAACCCCCCATGGACCTGTAGAACCACCTGAATGACCCTTATAACCTCCTCAGTGTCTATAGGACCAACTACAGGTCTACAACCGCCTGAACGACACAGGAACCCCTCAAGTACCCTTTAGAACCCCCTCAGTAAGTTGTTGTTGTTGATAATGTGTTGATGTTGTGTTGCTGATGTTGTTACTTTTGTGTTGTTGTTATTGTGTTGTTGTTGTGTTGTTGGTGTTGTTGATGTGTTCTTCTTGTGTTCTTCTTATTGTTGTTGTTGTTGTGTTCTTATTGTTGTGTTGTTCTTGTTGTTATGTTGTTGTTGATGTTGTGTTCTTATTGTTGTGTTGTTCTTGTTGTCGATGTTGTTGTTTTGTTGTTGTGTTGAGAGCAGCTCTCGGCCCTGATCGACACTGACAGGAAACGGGACGTGATGCTAATGAGGAGCAGCAGAGAGGACGAGCCCCAGTGAAAATAACACGCGTGATGTGACAGCATCATGTCTGTTTGATCAGCTGATCTCTGGGGAAACACGCCAACACGCTGCTCTGCCTCCTGGGAATTGTAGTACGACTCAGCAGCGACCAGAGCGCTAATTGTTATCATCACAGCAACACATCAGAGAGAGAGAGGGAGAGAGAGAGACAGAGAGAGAGAGAGACAGAGAGAGAGACAGAGAGAGACAGAGAGAGAGAGAGAGACAGAGACAGAGAGAGACAGAGAGAGAGAGAGAGACAGAGAGAGACAGAGAGA